CAAGTATATTTTCTCAGTTTTCAAAATTTCGTAAAAAATACTAGCCCCTATAAGCAAATCTATTTCTTTGGGATAATTAAACTTATCATCTGCTAACTGTACATTTTTTGGATAGTTTAAACTTTCCTTTGAAAATTCAAATAAAGGTAGTCTTTCCGTAATCACCGGCAAAATAGAACATTGCAAATTGGCAGAAAATTCTGTAAATCTTGACTTTATTTCAACGTCTACTCTGTAATTCACATTAGTACTGCATTGATTTATCCCACATAACGGCACCTTATAATCTTGTAATCTTAGCTTTAATTTTTTGCATAATTTTTCTGTTAATATATTTGACTGACTCGCGCTGTCTAAAAGTGCTGTACATTCATGCATTTTTCCTTCTAGATCTGCGATCAAAACCGTCGCTGTAGATAAAAGTACTTGATTTCCATCCATATTTGCACCCGAGACTCCATAACAACTATTGCCAACAAAGTTTTTATCCTGAAAATGTTGTTCATTGTTCACCAAGGAATATTCATCATTTTTATGAGTACTCTGGTCGGGCACGAACATCGTAGGAGCGTTTAAACTTTGATTTGTCGGATAGCTCAAATCTGTTGAATTTGGCGCGCTTATTTCAGTGACGCAGTGAGTTGCGCTGATATTATTTGTGGTTTGCTGACCTTGATTCCATGCAGTATTACCATTTTTACCATAATTTACGTGGAAGGGCTGATTTTTTCCTTTAAATTTATCTTCGTGCAAGAGAGTGCTATGTCTTGAATTACATTTTCTACAATTGCTCGAATTACATTGAAATTTGAAATGTCCTGGGCGTAAACAGTTCGTGCATAATTTATGTTTCCTCAATTCTTCATATCTTTGACTAATGGACATTTCTAAAAATTTAGAACATTGATAAATAAAATGATTTCCATTACATATTTCACAAACTATGTTATCTGAACTTGCGAAACATTGTAAATTAGGAAGTTGTGGTGAGTGTTGTGACATGTTTTTTTGAATTTTGTTATAAGTGTAACTTGGGTTTGAAGTTTGACCAGTATGTGAAATTAATTGATTTTTGGTTACATTGATATCTGTATACAGAGTTTCTAGAGTAAAACATTTTCTATTTAAAAATTTTAAAAATTCTTCGAAAGATGGAAAATTATCATCATCGAGTTTACTTTCCCATTCTCGCCTTGTTCTGTCATCTAATTTTTTTATAATTAACGGTATCAATAAAGCATCCCATTGTTTGACAGGCATATTCAATTTTTCCAATGCATTGACCTGTTGAGTAACCACATCTACTAAATTTCTAAGAGCCTTTGCATTTTCTCGCGTTACATCGGGTAATTTGAATAAAAGCGTGTTTATATGTTGATTAACGATTACTCTTTTGTGCTCGTATCTTTCTCTCAACAATTTTATAGCTACTTCATAATTTTCATCTGTGGATTGCAAATTGTCAATAATTTTCGCCGCATCCCCTTTACAAATGCTTTTTAGATACAATAATTTTAAAGAATCGGGAAAATCCGTTCGATTATGTATCATGGCTTTATAAACATCCCAAAAACTAAACCATGACTCATAATGTCCGTAACAACTAGGTAGCCCTAGTTGAGCTATATTGGGTGTGAAAGATGCAGGTTGCGTTATTGATACCTGGTGCATTTGTGTCCTTGTTTGTTGAGCTGTCGGCTCATATTCTTTTTTCGATATTTTTTCAGCTTCAGACATCACCTGAAAAAACTCATCTTCACGTTCCTCGCGCTCGTATACCTTGGATCTATCTAAAAACTCTAATCGCGTTTGGTATTCATCAAATTTTACCTGATCTTCTCTCGTGCTTTTCAACCTTAACTTTATCTGCTCGAATTTATCGATATTGCTTGGGTTTGCTAAATAATTACTAAAACGGCCTAACTTTGATAACAAAACATTGATTTTATGCTCTAAATCAACAATTTCTTCTTTTTTAGCTTTGGACTCGGCTTTGGACCCCATATTTTATTACTTTATCCTCAAGTACCTACGTATTTGCGCAAAATTTTAACTACAAAATTTATGGAGCTACTTACTCAACACAGATCCAGATCTATAATTTCAATCTACAAACCAAAAGCAAATAATTAGGAAAGATATCACCCGTATTAAAAAAAAAAAACTTATATCAATGCGCTTCCAGCAGTGCGTGAAATGACAACCAATGTCCTATATTGTACTGTAGACCAACTTCCGTGGATAACTTAAAATGACTTTCGGGAACCTTTCGTAGGCACAAATTCGTGAAAAACTTGATGTAATTCTTTCTTCGCTGTTCCAATGGCCGAAGTGACCAATGTTTCGTATCGTCGAGCTATTAATCGGGAACTTGCTACTCTGTATATTTGAAGGACCACCCAACCCGCAGGAAGGGAAATAAATGTAAATTTTTACTTCCAACTTTGGTTTTTTCTTACTTTTTTTTATTAAAAAGACAAGACATGTGTCATAAAAATTATTATCAGTCAACTCTTTTACAACGGGTGACTCTCACGCTTTTCAGGGCTACGTTGATTGAAAAATTAAATACATAAGCGAAAAGCTATGTTGATTAAATGTAATCGTACATGCGTAAAGCACCTTTTTTCACTCATGTGATTGTCAAAATTCACAATTCGTGAAAAAAGGTTCACTTTACACACTTGTTGCATAAATAACTATTTTTTAAGTTAGTGACACGAAAATGGTTAAAATTGCAGCCAGAAATACTCGATCGAGAAAACTTTTTGTTTTTGAAGATAGATGTATATAGTAAGCGACAAGATAGATGTATAGAATTTTTAATACCTATTTAGAAGTACCAGTCGTTCTAGTGACTAAACGTATGTCGCTTCTTGAACAGACAAATAAAATTAGGTTAGGAATTTCCTATTTGTACATGAATTTGACGTATTAGCAATCGACATTCGTTTTTGTTGGTAATTTTTTGTTTCATCTGATTCGTGATTAATAAATAGGGATGGTGTTATTCTAAATGGGTACTAAAAATACTATATATAGTAAGCGACAAAGTTGTAGCCAAAGAACCAAAGAAGTTTTTTTATTCTTGTGATTTTTTTGATAACTTACTTAGTTTTCAAGCAAACGGATCCCCAATATAGAAAAAAAATATTCCTGCCCCGCGGGCGCTGCACAAGCGGTCGCCATGCGTATTCGTATTGCAGTTTCAGAGGCCAGGGATAAGAACCAATAATAACCTATTCAATAATACTTAATCAGGGGTTTATTTCAAAGTTCATTTGGTAAATTTCAATTTTGGAAAGGAGAAATATGTAAAATAAAGTTTTATATTTTGATAAAGGCAATTGACAACGACAGTGGTTTAAATAGATTCGATTCAAAATATCATTTATGTTGTTATTTATGTCCAGTGTTCACATCTTTGCTCCTGATTCAGCTTCGACTCTAATTAGTTTTTAGATTGGGTAATGACAAAAACAAATAACATTGAATGTTCTGATGTTAACTTAGTATCAGAGGAGACTGAAAACTTGAGACGGTATTTGAGGGAAAAACGTTTAGATATGGTAGAGCTATCGTATGTTAATATCTGTAGTTTGTTTGAAAATATTGAGCCTTTAAGAAAACAATTCAACGAAACTTTTAAAAATAACCCCACTTATTTTCTGGCTGCCGTACATAAATATGATACGTATACTAGAGTGGCATACTATAATTGCAGAACGTAGCGGAGATTGGAACCAGCATTTACTATCTGTAGAGAAAATGCTCCTTTTTATGGCGTTTGCTGGCCACTACAAGTATGGTGTCATATATAGGTACCTCATTATTTACGTGATATGAAAAGTCTATGTATCTTTGTTCTAAGCCCATATCAGTCCAAACGCCGTTAAGCACCCTATTTTTTAAATTGAATGTTAAATTTTCCTTTAAGAAACGCTTCGTGTACTTCTGGAGCAGAAATTTTTTAGAATTTTCATATCACGTAAATAAATAATAAAATACCTATATATGACACATATTTTGTAGTGTCCAGCAGACACCATAAAAGGCAGCATTTTCTCTACAGATAGTGAATGCTGGTTCCAATCTTCGCTACATTCTAATCAGCATACGATAGCTCTACCATATCCAAGCGTTTTTCCCTCAAATACCGTCTTAAGTTTTCAGTCTCTTTTGATACTAAGTTAACATCAGAACATTCAATGTTATTTATTGTTGTCATTAAGTACTCAATCTAAAAATTAATTATAGTAGCTGAATCAGAAACAAAGATGAGTATGATAAAAAACACTGGACATAAATAACAACATGAATGATATTTTGAATCGAATCTATTTAAACCACTGTCGTTGTCAATTGCCTTTATCAAAATTTAAAACTTTATTTTACATGTTTCTCCTTTTCCAAAATTAAAATTTACCCAATGAACTTTGGAATAAACCCCCGATTAAGTATTATTGAATAGATTATTATTGGTTATTATCCCTGCCCTCTGAAACTGCAATACGAATACGCATGGCGACCACTTGTGCAGCGCCCGCAGGGCCGGAATAGTTTTTTTCTATATTGTACTGAGTAAGTTATCAAAAAAATCACAGGAATAAAAAAACTTCTTTGGTTCTTTGGCTACAACTTTGTCGCTTACTATATACAACTATCTTCAAAAACAAAAAAGTTTGCTCGATCGAGTATTTCTGGCTGCAATATTAACAATTTTCGTGTCATTAACTTCCATAGTGTCCATACACACGTACAGACTTGCCTTTGGGTACGTGAGGCCGGCCGGATGAACGAACATATTTTTGATTTTTCTCCGGCCACCGGCCACCTGAACAGTCTTAACTGACAGATCGTCTGGAATCTGGAATACATGGAATACATGTATACCTACCTCTTGTTCTTAGCTCCTTCAACTCAAATAAGCCACGATTTCAAGATGTGTTTTTGCAGAAATCTATTTCGAGATTTAAATTTGAAAATAAAATCCATTAAAGTGTAAACAATCTAGAATCTATTTATCCAAAAAAAAAATTACACTAAAAATATTTTTTGGTCCAATACAAGATATAAGTATTCAGTATTATTTTGCAATCATTTTTTTTTATTGAAATTAATAAATAATCTAAGTTAAATGGTAACAAATATAACATAAATGCAAAAACTTATTAGAAAAACTCATACACAAATAGTCTTAAATTTTTATAATTAACCCTCACTAGTCCCCTGCAACAGTTCTTCTCTAGAACTCTCAATAATCTGCCTCCTCATGTGAGTGAGTTGCTTCAAAAAAGCACTTGGACTACATGTAGGTGTCCTCTGTCTCTTATGCGTTTTCCTCGGCAAGCTTCCATAGTCTGAAAAAGTTATTGGATTACTTTCCAAACTGGAATCTTCGATTTCCACATGACTCAAATCCCACGGATTATATTTTGGCCTGTCATATAACATATCATCGTCATAGTCTTCAGATGTGATACTGATGTGCCTTGAACGTGGCGTTTTCTTTATTTGCTCTTCGAGTCTTTTGCAAGAGTCTTCCAATAATGTTTCGTATTTATTTATTGGTAATAGGTATTCAGGAAAATCCAAGGAAGTTTGTGAAAAGCAACTTTCCCTCGAAGGCGGTTGATCAGTTTGGGTTGCGTGGGCAATTATCCTTTTACGTTTCTTCTGAGACGTTTTTTCCAAACCGGAAATATCTTTCACTGTTACTTGAATGTCAAAGTCTTCTAAGTGAGGCTGTTGACAATTCGTATTATGTGCAACACTAGTGATATTTGTCATTAAAGTTTTAGCTTCTTCAAGGAAATCTTTCATTGCCTTTAACATTCTGTCGCTCTTCTTTCTTTTATTTTTATTCGCAAATTGTACTTTTTTACGATGATATTCTATAGAATCTGGCAAATTATAATTATCTTCACTTTCACTCGTAGATTCGCTTGCTGAACTATCATGACAAATTAGCACATTTGGTTTATGATATTTTATGCTTCTTCCGCCATGTTTATCATCCAAATAAGTTCTAATTTTTGCTTTGACCAGTTTAGGGCGAAAATCTGGCAAGGATTGGCATTTCTGGTTTAGCAAGTCTTGTAAAACGACTTGAGGCGCGTGCGCTGTGAGTACCTCTACACTTTTAAAGTTATTGTAACAAGGGACTGTTAAGACACTAGCGTTACTAGCGCAAATACTTGACGCTGGCAAATAGTTAACATTTTCATAAATATCAGGCAAAATATTATTTTCTGCATAGCAAGTCTTTTTATCCTCATCCTCAGCATTTAGTGCGTGAGGATCCAAAGAATTATGATTACTTATCAGATCTGGCGTGGGAAAAGACACATTGCGCTGACTATCTAAACTATCATCGGACAAACTTCCCGTTCTATTACCGTTTATGTAATTATGCGAAATATTTATGTTCACTGCTTCAGTGAAAATTGGATTGTTGCTTTGGCATTCAGTTAAATATTTCGTAAAAGATATGTTCGATTTAGTGTCGTCTCCACTTGTTTGCACACCACAACTTTTAGTTAAAACTAAAATATTTTTCAAATCTCCATGCAAAAATTGATTTATTAAGGCACAATCAGTTTGAGCATCTTTATATTCTTGCTTGTCCAAGGTAGAAGCGTCTTTAACTTCAGATAATTGTTGTCTTAAGTCGGAACAATCAGTAGCCACCTCTTTGACTCTTAATATGGGAAATAATTCCGTTTGAGTTTCTTCGTTTCTACTTCTATGAGCCTTTAGTGCTCTCTGGGTAATTTCTCTGAGTCGGTTTCTAGCGTTGCTGCATATTGACAGCTCTTTAGGACCTTCTAAAGTTTTATCAATATCAGTTTGCTCAGTTAAAGTTCCAATATCTTTTTTGTGAACTTTATTATACAGTCTGCTAGTAACTGCAGCTACTATTTGAGCTCTTGGTTTTGTATAGGAAGGTTTTTTAGTGGCTCCGCCTGAAACTTCTGTATTATTGCCTTTTTCAACTTTTTTTGCTCCTGGAGCCAGAATTTTCTTTTCTGTTATAGCTTTCAATGATGGGTTGCTCCGGTTGATTGATTGCCTTCTCAAAGATAACATGGTCTGTTTGGGTTGAACTGGAGGTAAACCAGCCGTCGAGCTTCCACCGGAAAGTCTTCTTGTTGGCGTTTTAGCGGATGCTTTATGTTTAGGCGACTGTAAAGATTCTTGAGAGCTGAACGATTTTGAATTGTCTGTATCAGTACTTAATCTTCTGTCCATACTAATGGTGCGCCTCAATTTTTTTGGGGTTGCTGGTTCGATGGTACTTTTCACACTCATTATTGGTACAAGTGTTTCACTTATGTTGAGGTCTTCTTGAGGTGATGAATTATCAGTCTGGTGTATTGGAGGTTCCGACTCATTTGTTTGTGATGATTCTTTTTCTGACAATAATTCTTCTGGTTCCTTCGGTGGTAAGTTAGTGGCATTCATTTGGGTTTGGGTGGGAATCTGAAAATAATTACACTATAAATTCCAGGTAAAAATACTAGGTACTGTAATTTAAAAGAGCAGGGCAAACTAAAGCACAATTTTGAGCTTCAATGAAAGTTTAAGAACAATTTTGTCGTATGAATCTGAATGTGAGTTGTTTTTCAAATATAATATTGAAAAAATTACATTTGGTGCGGAAGACGTCACTTAGAGTAAGTTTAAACGAGAGAATTGTTGGATGAAGTTAAGTAAAAACAATAAGTAGTCAGCTAATTTTGTAAACTTAATTAGTTTTATAAAAGTTGTTGTTAGTAGAGTAGTTTCTGTGGACTCATGACGAAAGTAATGACAGTATGAAACCTTTGGGTATCATTTAAAATATTTTAATTTAATATTACGAGATCATTATCAAATGGAGTCAATATTTTGATTTCATTATTACTACAATCGTTGATAATGCACTATTTGTCAGCATACAGAGGTCCGGCAATGGATAGTTATTTTATCACTGGAAGGAGAAGGATAGTAGAAACATAACTTCTTTAAAATTTCATAACTTTTCCCAAAAAGATATGCAAAATTTGGATATATTACGTATAAAGTTCCCGTAGGTTCTAAAAATACATATAAAGTTTTGCTCTAATTTTGAGAATTTTTCCAATCTTTTGATGAAAAAAATTACGTTGGTCCTTATACAAAGTCGAAGCAAAGTTTTTCAAAAGATACAAGATTCATAGTTTCTTTTCATTTCTTTTGGTAAAGAATTGAACAATTTCAATCCCTCAGTGAATATAGTTTTTACTTGCAGCATTTGCGTAATTAATGTAAAAATTGTTCATTGATCGTGCTCTTGTGTTTAAGCAGTGTATGTCATGAATATATTCAATTTCGTCATTCATATACTTAAGTAATGTGCACACTCTCAAACGAAAGACAAATTTTGGCACATTAAATGCTCTCTGTGAGACGTTAAGAAAGTTTAATGTTTCCAACATCATCTTTATACGAGTTCGTTTTTTACACAATAGGATAGCTCTCATAGCTCTATCTATTTTTTGCAATATGTTTATTTGGTTCTGCTTCATGAAAAAAATTAATGTTCCACAATAATATGTCACACGCCTCGCGGCTAATGTGGGTAGGACCTCAGGTCAGGTTAGGGGTTGCACTTCAGGAAAACACACAACTACAAAAAGGAGCTTATAGTTGCCCTGAAGGGCAAGACTCTCTGGGGTATAAGGCGACCCTAAAGAGAAGTGTAGCTACTGCTCCTTTGGGTTAGGAGACCCTGAGTAGAGAAGGACCCAATAGGTACCGATACCATGGGCTGCATCGATTTTTATATCCATTTCGCGTAAACATTAGTCTACGCGTTGACATGCTTAAACTGCTGATTGTTGATGAATCGTGTTCTAGTTTTAATGGGTTTTTGATATACAGAGTGGTTTTATTTATAGACCAGTCGACACTTGTTGTTTTATAGATGGTAAGTCTAGCAAATATAGACATTTTATTGCTTAATCTAAACAGGAACCCAATCTTTTTAGCCATTTTCTTTTTAATATATTGGCAGTGTGAATTAAAATCAAGTTCGTGATGAAAAATGAAACCCAAATACTTGATATGTTTTACTTTTTCTATTTGTTCTCCATTAATTTCGATTCTGTTCTATATATCACCCACTTAAAGACTACCCAAATTGTATTTGCTTCCCAGAATCATGCATTTAGTTTTCCCATTGTTAAGTTTAAAGCTATTATTGTCAAACCATTTCGATACATTCTGTAGATCAAAATTGAGTTCTATTATCATCTGTTCTATGTCTTTTGTTTTTCCTATAATGTAAATCATAGTATCGTCAGCAAATAATTTCATCTTACACCTTTTTATTTGTTTGACAATGCCATTAATAAATAACATAAACGAAATTGGTCTCAATGCACTTTCCTGTGAAACTCCGAAAGAAACATCTAAAGTATCAGAGAGTACTTCGTTACATTTTACATAATGTAAATGTCTTTGTGTGATTTCTAAACCATCCTAACACTTTCCCTCTTACTCCGTGTGCATTTAGTTTTATTAAAAATAATTCTATGTTAATTGTTTCAAAAGCTCGTTTTAGATCCATAATAAATAATACAGACATAATAATTTTCTTTTTATTGGTCACTTCATGTTTCCATTGTGAAATAATAAATTGCAAGGCTGTTTCGCAGGAATGCTCTTTCCTGAATTCTGACCGTTCTTTTACTATAATATTATTTTTATCTGTATGCTGTGTAAGTTGCTCTTTAACTACTATTCCAAAACTTTTTCATATATTGGAAGCGTATTCTCCTTTGGTATAAACATTATTTGATATATTATCTACAATCTCTACAATTAGCTTTTTTTAGTTTTTCGTGATTATCAATAAAATATGCTTTTCACGGATCCAAGCTTGATAAACATGCAAATATGCAACCACCAAGACATTTAGTTGTTTAGGTGGTTGCGAACATGATTTTTGAATTAAAAAAAAAAGGCTGAATATCAAAGTTTCGAAAAATCAACCAATCAAAGCACTCATCAATGTTGCGGCCTTAATTAAATTTAGTACAAGGTTTCTTGCTATCTCATTTGTAAGTTTCAAAATGTTTAGATTGATTCCATGTTTGTCTGAATTGTTCTTTTTTAGATTTTTATTGTTTTTTTTTAAATTCATTGTGAATTTTTCTAAAATGTGAAAGTTGTTACCCCGTAAAGGTTATTTCTCTAACAATTTCCATAAAATACTGAGTACTTAGGTTCAATAGTTTATAGAATGTTTTTAATGCTATTTACAAAGTAGTAGTTAAAAGAGCTTGCAATTAACTTATTTGAATTGTGTATTCCATCTTCGAATTGGATTGCCTGTGGCATAATGTTTGATTTACCATTCTATTAATTCTTTAAGCGTTTTCCACATGCTTTTAGAATCACCTCTATTCTGATCATTTTTTTCTTCATAATGATGTCTCGTCTCATTCTAAATTCTTGTCGTCACTTGATTTCTAATTATTTTGTATTGTGCCCAGTCTTTTTTCTTTGAATTTTTTGCAATTTTATACGATTTATCTCTGAGTATTATTAATCGAACAGTGATGACGATTATTTATGTTCGTCGATTACAAATTGGTATTTTCCGTATGGCATTCACCCTCAAGAGGATACCTTACCCACCCAATTAATCAAAAACGACTAGAAATAGAAGATTATCACCACTTCTATCAGGAGTGAAGGGATAGCTTGATGCTGATGATCATTTTTATCTACTTTCCAATACATTTTAAGTAAAATTGAAGGCAAGACGATGACTGGGCATGCCCCACCCTTGTCAGATGGTTTCTACTCGCAAAAAGAATGGTAAAATTGCTCCGATGTGCACGCTCACATTTAAACTAATGATATAATTCAATTAATTCTAAGCATCGATGATAGTTTCCATCTAGGTATCATCCAGGCTATAAGCACGTACCTACCCTAAAGCTTTTACTAGGTTACTCACAAACGATTCGGCCAGTTTGTTTACATCATAACCAACTGTGTCCCATTGTGATTCTAATACTGTTTCTTTTTTTTCACTTTTTGATTCAATTAAAATTCAACTTATTTGGCATATTATGTACCAATATACTAAAGTGATCAGATACTTTAGCGAAACAGAAACTTCACATTTTACGAAGTTTCTATTATTTGCGACCAAATAATCAATAAGTGTTGATGAACACTGAGTATAACTCTTGTGTGGGTATTCAGTTACAATAAGGTGGCTCAGATCAAAAAACTCAAACAATTCAACAATTCTTCTACTCTACGTTGCGACAATTTTCAGATCTATGTTAAAATCTCGAAAAATGATTAAATCCGCATGAGATGAATGAGGTTAGTGATATATGTTACACGATAAATACGGAGTATTATGTGGTAATATTAAATTAAATCTTAACTGCCAAAATCCATGTGTTTTTTTCAAAAGTCCCCCTATCTTCTCTGATGTAAATCGTAACTCCTCCTGTATGTCTACTCTGAGATCCACATTTCAAAGCGCTAAAAGCCCTTAACATAACTGAAATTCAGCCTTAAGGGGATTGAATGCGCCGTCACAGATCACCTAATACAGATGCGAAAGTACGTATAGTTGCCATCGACGATATTCTGTGACGAAGCCGGGCTGCCAGCAACCCTACGCATAGATAAAGATCGCCCGCGTCAGGACAATTAACGTGGCTGAGTGCGTGAGCATGTTCCAGCCTGTGTGTTTACATATTTTTGCAGGTAAAAAAGAATATTTTTTTGCCAATTAAAGAAATAATATTATATTATTGAGCTTCCGCATTTATATAATAAATTTGTTGAAAATACATTGATGTGGCGTTGGTGCGGCCAGCCTATGTCTATCAAATTAATCTTGAACCACGAATTCGCCGCGCTTTCGCATCTGTATGTAGGTAATCTGTGGCGCCGTTTAAAATATATTGTAACGCACATCGAACTATACAACTACCCAACAAGTTAATACTAATAAAGATGCGAGTGCAAGGTTCATCGCGATCATGGTATTGGGCTACTGTTGGGCCGGTTGGCGCTGGATCGTTCATGACGGCGGTTTAAAATGTATCGCAAAACAGGCGGAGGAAAGAGCCATAGGGTATAACAAAGACAGAAAAAATGACAAGAGGAATTAATTAAATTTCTACAAAAAAAAACTAGATACTTTTTGGTATTCTGGTTTGTGCCATTGTATTGCTAACACACATAAGAATGGCGCTAATTAAAAAAAACACCATAGATTGATTAACTTTCTCGTATTTTTTCAGTTTAAATTACATTTTTGTAATTTTTCGAGAACTTGTTTCTATTATCGGATTTCTAAAAAGATAGCGCCATTCCTCCCTATATTATAAATCGAATACAAAAAATAAATTTCATATAAATTCAACTGTTAAAAAGTTACGTTGAAATTAAGAACGCAAAGCATTCCTTGTTTCATTCATCTC